ATAGAATAGAGCGCATTACAAACGATACCTTCCAGAAGCTGATATCTAACTTCTACCCCTATTATTCAGAAACACGTCGGTCACATTTTGCACGAAAAAGAGTTAAGTGGCATATAAAAAAATCCTTAAAAAGTTACCATTCTTTTCAAAGCGTTAAAAGAAAGTTCTAAAAGCGTAAAAGAAGAACATTGTCTTTAGTTTTTCCTCTTTTAATTCTTCAATAACATACCCAAAAATGATATGAGACTGTTCCCGCCAGTTCTGGTCATTCTTCTGTCAAGGCATAACCTGTTACTTACAATTAATTTTGATTTCAGATTGGATCATTTTGCCAAAGAGAGCAGCCTTGCAAGGAAAACGAAGTCTGCATTGATGACTGCGTATGCCCTGGCTATCATTGCATTGCCTGCTCAATGGAAAACATTTCTACCTATTGCTCTGCATTACGTGAGTAATAGTAGTGTCTTGATCTAAGTAGAAACCCCTTACTCTCAACTCAGTTTAACAGCTACAGTTCCACCGAAAATTTACAAAATTTGCCTGTTTTCTTTGTATTGTAAGGCAGCATGTTTATTTTATATTTTTTAATTTGCTTCTACCTAGCATCTGAAGATAGTTTTAGGACACTGAGAAGCTATGCTTATTGAACAGTGTTCTGGTTCAGTGTTCATATTTGTAAAGCATTGTTAAACTTTTACAGTGCAAATATGATTTGTTTTTGCAAAAATTGCCATGCTACTAGGAGTCTAATTATGAGTTGAGACAATTTAATTACGAGCGGATTCCTATTTGCTAACAGACGCAGGGGCAAATGCCCCTTTGCCCCACTTACAATGGACCGTATAGACAGATCAAACTTTTTTAATTTCATTTTATGTACACTGCTCATTTTAAACATGATTATGCAATTTAGTTAAGAATTTCTATTAGACCCATCTTCATCCGTAAATAAGAAAACTGTTTACACGATACCATTTTTAAATGAATACTAATATCATACCATATACAAATGATACCATAAACAATTCAACTCAATGACCAATTTACAAACGCTAATAACTACAAAACGGCTAAAGATATGAAAAAAATAATAACAGATTCGTTTTCAGGAGGTCTGATTTCCTCGTATTCTGAAATAAAAATTTTGGGCTGGAGTGGCCCTTTAACACGGAGACGCTGACGAATAAGGTATGAAGTGAAGACGTTAACAAGTACGATATGAAATAGTTTATCTTGTTAACGGATACGCAAAAAGGCTACTATTATTGGGAGGCCTATTGTATGGGGTCTAAAAGCCGCAAAACAGTGCAAAAATCAGCAAAAAACCGCAATGTGCATTGAAATAATGCGCAAGGATTGCAATTGTCGTCGCATTTGACCAAACACAAACATCATACAAACACAAACACAAACAAGCTGACATTTCACGTCATCTAACGACGCAAGACGCATGTCGTAATCGTAATCTAACGAAGCCGTAACCTGCAGAAAACCCATTGCCAAATCCGTAGATCGCACGTAGAAATAGGGTCGTGAAGCCGCAAACCTATATTAGGCCCCCCTTATAAAAGGACAGGTGGCATCATCGTGGATTCGAATCGAATTTGGCTCTGATTTAGTCGTGTACACGATGAAGATTTCACTTCATAACATGTTGATCAGCGTTGTCAGTTCATACATGAGCATCAGCATCAAATGTTTATAACAGACCTAGTCGTCTTTGCGACAAATTTTTCATCTAGTTCGTGCAAAACGTACAAAATCAATATCAAATTTGTATCGGAATTGATCGCTTACACGAAAACGACTTCATACAGTGTTGGTCAGCGTTATCATTTCATACGTGTTCATCAGCATTAAATTTTGATCAGATTTGTTCGTATTTACGATAAAGGTTTTATCTTATACAGTATTACTGAAAGAATATACTTAATACAAGTGGGTCAATATCCAAATTGCATCGAATATGGTTGCTCACACGATAATAATTTTCTGTTCATATTGGCATTGGGGAACTTCATCGATTTCAGTAGGCCAATACGGTATCTTATTATATCGTATTTGCCTCAAGATGTTACCGTTTGCGTCTTAATTTCATACTGTAATCACAATTGTCTCAGTGTAATCGGTAGACCAATACAGTATGTTATTGTATATGTCAAAAGTTTACCATATACCGTATAGGTCTCCATTTCATTCCATATTCATGAGTATTCATGAGTGTCTCCGTGTAATCGGTAGGCCAATTGCAAAGATACGAATTTTTAAATGAATACCTGATTTTTGCTGAGCTTCAATGTTCTTAAATTTTTTTTGATTTTGAGCCTAAGAATAATTTTGAGCCTGAATTTGTTAAAACATAATTTGTTTACAAACGGATGCTTTGTCCGCCAAATCTCCGAGGAAAAACGTCTGATTATGAACAAGTTTTCGTGAGAAAATAACTATGGACTTAAGAAGATTGTTCTAGGATAAAATACAAATTATCTTATAACAAAAAGATCTATTAATGATCTATCATTTTATTTCTAGTACAATTTATTACTGAATTTTCATAGTTTTTTTTCTATTACATTGTACAGCACGCAATCTAGTATATGTTTCTTGTATATGTTTATGTTTCTTGAATATTTTTCGAACTATGTTGTGTTGCAAGCTATTGTATTCTAAAGCAGGAGGAAGCAAGCGGGGGTTTAGAGGGGGCCTGGGCCTCCCAATATTCTAGAGGTCCCAAAAACAAAACATTTGCAGATGGTATTGAGTTCGAAAATGTGCATATGTTACCTCTTAACCCCTACTCCCGCGAATGTGTTGGTTTGTGCATGTTTATGCAATACCTCTGTACATTATTATTAATATAGTCATTTTTTATATGTTTGTAAAATAACATTTCGGGGCCCCCAATGTCAAAGTTCTAGCTGCCCTCATGCTCTAAAGTAATGATATGGAATGAGATTATATAGTTGACTGGCTTTTCTCAAATTTTTTGAATTCCCAGAAAAATTAACTGCATTACATCTCTTAATCTATAAGTCAAATGATTTGGCGATTAGGAAATTTGAAAGCTCTTTCAGCTTTGACAGAGAAAGTAAAAATTGTAAAAATACCTCTAATGGATTATAAATACATTTAATGGATTATAAAAATATATTAGAAGGTAAACCTAAATAATCCCCTGAAAACTTTTCAAATGATCCATTTAGTGCCACGGTACCTCTATCCATTTAAATCTCATCCAATATCAGTCCATTCAAATACTAGCTCTGTCAAAGCATACAGAACCTAAACTTTCACTTAGGATAATCTTTGTTTTATATGAGACTTCATGTATGTACAATACGAAAATTTAAAGCATAGGTGTGAGACTTATTGCAGCTTTATAAATTTGCATTTCAGCTAAGCGCAGCTGTAAACGAATTTACACCAGAGGCTCTACAACAAGCGGAATCTATTCGCTGGATGAGATTGGACAGCATTATTGTATGATGGATGGCGACTGTGGCCAAGGAGGTTGGACACTAGCAATGAAGGTTGATGGGACAACAGTAAGTACCAGGGGAATGAAGCCCCATCAAACTGAACTTATCAATACTGCCCTTGACTTACTTAATGCTACATTTAAAGATTCAAAATTGGCAATCACTGTTGCCTTGTCCATGATAAAATTGTTAACAATACTTTTTGAAAATTTTAACCCCAAAATATGGACTATAAAATTTTTGATCAGCATCACTGAGCAATTGCATGACTCAATTAAGTTTTCTCTATTTGTAAAGGCTAGTACTAATATCTTTTAAATTAGGTTCTTACCCAAATGATAGAAGCCTGTGGTTCCTCTATTATTGAGCCTCTGTGCCGGATTTTTGAAAAAAGTCTTGATACAGGGATTTATTCATCGACTTGGAATAAGGCAAACATCGTTCCCATTCACAAAAAGGGCAGCAGACAGTGTAAAAATAACTACAGGCCTATTTCTCTGCTTCCAATTCTTGGAAAGATCTTCAAAAAACTGTTATCGACAAAATTTACTCCACTCTTTGTGAAAATGGACTTCTAGCTCCAAATTAATCTGGATTTCGGAACTGCAAAATAAGATAATGAACATTTTCTCCTGCCCTGGCAAAAGCTGAAAATGTGGGGAGCCAGCCCTCGGTTCTCATAACACTACAATAATTATCAAGGTAACTCCTACCCACTTAGGCCTTTGCCTATTGTCTCCACCAGTTCCCGACGTTGGGGAAGCGAGTTTGCCTAACCTTGGGGAGGCGAGCAAGAGAAAGTTTTACAATGAGTGAGGCAACCCTTCATCCTGAAGTTAAAGAGCATGCCCTTACTTTTTACAACATGCTTTTGATATGCACACTAGCATCCCACGTTTTTTAAGATGAGTGTACAAAAGCTTCCCTCAATGCCATTAAAAATCATTATGGGGAAACCATCCCGCTGCATATAAAGCAAAACAAATGGTCATCTTTATTCTCAAGCATAATTATATTGCCTGTACACTCTCTTTTTTATATGAACAATTTTATTAAAACACAATCCTCTAAATTGGTCAAAAGTTAAAACCAAGCGGAGGCTGTGCTGCTGTAAAATTTAACTTTGAACAATGTTTCATCTAAAAAACGAGGAGTTTTAAGCCATCTAGGGGTCCTTATTCGGCGAACTTTCAAACTGGTTGTAAAATAAAGGATGTTTCACTCACTTTGTTGGCAAACGAGGCTTGAAAACTTCCCTAGAGCGCAATAATTTAAGAACAAATTACGAACAATCCATCCTCAGGTTTTCGAAAAAATTTAGAACAGCCAGCCTGAACTTCAATTTACTGGTTCTTATAAAAAGAGTGTAATGGTAAACTTTATTAACATCCCTTAAGGCACCGCAGTGTCCCGATGAGGCGTCGTACATATTTTGGAAAAAATTTATCAATGACATAATTTTTTTCTGGCAACACAAGCTTGAAAACCTACAGGAATTTATACAATACACTCTATGTCATCCAAAAAAAATAAAATTCATATTAAAGACAGTACACAGTCGACTTCGCTTAAAATCACACTACTGGTTACAGCCAGATCAAATTTAGACCCAACTATGCAAAACTATTCAATAAAATTTAAACCCAAATAACGCCGTTTAAAGTGTCACACTCGGTTTACAGTCACAAGCTTTCAAGCAACATTTAATGTACTGTAGTATTTCTATTCTGACAGGCGCCGCTTTTATTTAGGCACACGGTTGGGATTACATCTTTTTTCTTAGTTTTCTGGCAAGCGGTACTTGTCTTTTTGTATGGTTATTAAAATAAGACGCTAATATCGACCAAGGGTGTAACACTTAAGTCCACAGTGAAAAGAAATCAGAATCTATTTAGAAATCTATTCCAAGCTTAGCTTACACTGGCAATACCTATTTTGTGTCACTGGTAGACTTAAGCATTTAACGTTTGGAACAGACAAATTCCAAGCATAGCATACTTCTTGTTAAAGTTATAAAAAAAACAAAGGAGACCCATTGGTAGAAAACATTTGCCCTGGGAAAATCACTTTTGCCCTGCGAGAAGGTCCAATTTTCGTGGTTGAAGGGTGAAACACCCCCCCCCCATACCCCTCCTCAAGTGACGCCCCTGATAATGCGTTGTGATCTCCTTGGTCAACACTCGGAAATCCCGGTTTAGACATTTCACAATATGATTCAAAATCTTTATGCACACTGCTTCTCTATGGACCTCCATTGTTGAATGAATTTGCCAGCAAAATAATTATGGAAGCTACAATGTCTTTTATCAGAGGAACAAAACGACCTGACTGAATGCAGCTACCCGATATCTATTTTTTATTATTTTATTTTATTTGTTTGGTTAAGTAACTTAAATAACAGTTATTTTCTTGGTTTGTTCTTTGTCCCTTTGTTGACTTGAGTGACAGAATGGTTAAATTTTTTGTAAGTGCCATTTATAGAGGTAACTCGATGACCTTGTGTCTTTTTCTTCTATGACTGGCATCATATGAAGTAGCTGCTGCCTTGCCTAGCCTTAATGTTTTAATTGCCTAGATATAGAAGGGAAAAAATGATAGAAATATTAGAGAACGTCAATCACTGTGGCATTCATGGGGTAAGGAAGTCATTAATGTTAGCTATTTAAGTCAACCTGCCAACTTGCAATTTTGCTGAATGTCAACTGAGCCTATAAGATCGATTCTTTCCAAATTTATCAGTCAGACTCGAAAACAAAACATTTTAGGGTTGATTAAATGCTGACTTGCTTTCAAATGGTTCAAAAATGTGTCAGCATTTTATTCAGTGGCGGATTCAAGGGGGGCAACTAGGGGCAGTTGCCCCTCCCTCAACGAGTTGAAGCAAGTCTGGCGCCCCTTTTTTGGAAATTATGCGCCCCTTTTGAAGAATGAGAATCAAGTGAAAAAGTTTCTGAGACCGATAAGTTAGTTTGCTTCAAGGATTACCTCGAAGTTATGTTGTTTATTCCGAAAATGAATTTGAAATTTTTATAAACAGCCAGAACATGTTCAACACATTTCCTCTAGAAATGGATTACAAGGCGTTAGGTAGGGGTAGATCATATTTCCTGAAAAATTAACCTCGTATAAAAGCACTGAAACGAGGCAAAGGGGCGTGGCAAGTGAACCCTCCCATTCTGCAGTACCTGGAACTGCCACTACTTGCAGGCTAATATTATCGATTTACAACAACTTTGATTCCTAAATGCATCCTATTTCCTGGACTCTTCCAAGTTTCAGGTCGGTTGCGGGGTTCACAAAGGGTCGGCTTATCATACAAAGGATAAAGGAATTTATACTGAGAGAAACTGTGATCGAGTGAAACAGCCAGGGCAGTTATCGATCTCTGCAACCAGTTACTCTGTACTTCGTTGCTCTACCAAATGAGCTACTTGGTCACATGTTTGAATCGAAGCCCCAAGCCACGCCACTTACACACAACGCCCCTTCTCACCTACTCCCTCCTCATCCCCTTCCCCTTCCCCATCGTAGCATTTCTCGCAATGAGCAACGGACTGCTATGCAAAAGGACCTTCCTCGCCAGGGGAAGGGCGGTAATTAATAAAACATCTAACTAAAAGATGCAGTCAGAATTAAGGTACTTGATGATGTGATGGATTTTAATTTCATTTTGTGGGATTTTCTTTCATGTCACTGAACTTGTAGCTTCTTTTTTACCAGAACACTTTAGTTTCAAACTCGCCCCTCTGGACAAATGGAGAACTGCACAGATACACAGACACAAACCTCAATGATGGAAATGCCAAGTTTGATGCCTTTAAAAGTGTTGATTTCCAAACTGTGTGCATTGGAATGAAGACTAAAGGTGCTGCAAAAGAGACCATTAAGTGGTTGAAGATACCAAAGCTGTCGTCATCTTTGCTTGATGTATTTTCATCTGATCAGAGTTCAGATACGAAACTGAGTAGGCAAGCGTGGAAAGACTTGGTGCCAGAAATCAGCGAACCCTTGCAAATAAACTGCAACAGGCAAGGATTCAATATCAAAGATGATAGAAATCAGTTTCAAATTAGAATTGGCATACTTGGAAACAACGAGGATGATTGCGGAAGTATTGACTCAGCAATAGGAGTTGGAACTAACAGCCCGTCATATAGTGGAAGCTTCCGTCGGTGGCCCAAGGAATCGGCATACTTGAATCCAAAACAGGTTTTTATCTTTGTTCAGTAGCAACACAAAGCAACAAAGCACTTAACACATCAGACAGCCAAAAAGCAAAATTATTTTTGGACCAAAGTCCTTGCCCTGGCCAGAGACAGATTAAGCGGCAAGGATTAGGGGGGGAGGGGTTGAAAATTATTTGATTTTGGTGTCCCACCTTTCAGATGTCTGGAAAATGATGAAAATATCCTTTTAAGAATTAAGCTTATTTACTTCAAGGTGAAAACGATAAGAAGATGAATAAAGTAAATTTTTGCATTATTTTGTTACTACTGGCCATCAAAAATGCTTTTTACCGAATCAAAGCAAAATTTACTAAAGAAAACAAAATTTTTTGGGGACACCGCACCCCCTAGAACCCCGGTAAATTCGTCCCTGGCCCTTACCCAGTCTTGTTTATGTTGGGTTGTAGAAACCTCTAAAATTATGTGAGAGTTTAGTCAAAACGGCAGGAAATGCCCCTCCAACTTTTAATCATATTCGTTATATTCATGAATCAAAGCTTTTCGTGATTTTTCAAGTCTGCCATCATCAGCAACCCACCTTCACCCACCTTCACCCGATTTATACCCTGCAAATTTTGCAGTGGTGTCTATTAATCATGGCCCTGTTTTTTGCAGTGGCGGCGAAAAGGGGTGTGACATGGAGGGTTAATCTCTCATACTTTTGTCAATACATGGTCCACATCGATCTTCTAAGATTTGATAAAAGAAAGTCACTCAGAAGTTTTAGGTCATATTCATAAGACTTGCCCAACGAAAAACACCTAGTTTATAGCACCAAAATGAAGTAAAGCCTTGGCCAAACTAGGCAACATTTGAGCAACATCCGGGATTTGTGAATGTTGCCCGACAATGTTGCCCAGTTTGGCCAAGGCTTAAGAAGCAAGTGGTCTCACTGGTGACACCAATTACCTTATCATTCCGTTGTAGCTGGCGCCATCACTGTTTCTTTACATAGAGTTCTGGAGGCCCAGAAATAGTCCAATCTGACCCAAACTTTATATAAACATTATCCCACAATTTAAGATACGTTATGGTTCTGGTGCCTAATTTGAGAGCCAAAAATTTTCGACTTTTTTATTGCAGATAATATAATTGTTTGGAATATTCAGAGAAGGAATTTTTTTAAGCGTTCCAGCATTGTAAAAGAAGGTGTAGGCAGGCACCGCAGAGGTAGGGGACTGGGGGGGCTCTAGCCCCATTTTTTGCCAGAAATATACGATATAAAAAGAAGAACCATCAGTAAAGCCTCTTTTTATTCAGTGTTAGCTCCCCATCACCTCTTTTAGACCCCCCACGTTTCTCAATACTCCGCGGTGCCTGGTATGGTGGCATGTCGGCCATTTTGCCTCATCTCTTTGCAAAATTCTGCCGGCCTTGTCTGTTCATTCTTTGGTGACATCAGGGCTGGAATTAAATTTCAGGGCCCAAGCCACAAATTTTAAAGTTGGGGGCCAAGGCTAGAAAAAGTAGGGGGCCAAGGCTAGAAAAAGTAGGGGGCCAAGGCTAGAAAAAGTAGGGGGCCAAGACTTCTTTTCCCTTTTATTACAGCTTTAAAACTACTTGCTCCACAAAAAGATGGCGTGGGCCCTTAGGCTTAGATGAATTTGATAAAGGGTAAAGCCGAAAACCCACTCTGGAAAACGATCCGCGGATCGGATCAGTTTGAAATGCACTCTACACGGGATCCTTGCCTCACGACGCAAGTGCTCTATTGTTTAAGAAGTTCTAATTCGATTTTGATCAAAAGAAAACTATTGTACTGGAAGGGTTAAAAAAGTTGAAATGATTTCAACTTTTCTTTCAATCCGTTTTGGTCAGTCGCGGATCCGATCCGCGGATCATTTTCGGGAGTGGGTTTTCGGCTTAAAATACTCAGCTGCGCGTAAAAAGCTCGCACAAATTCAGTCATAACTTTCGGGGCACAATCAACCCAAAGTTGCTGCAATGTTATGCATATGATAATCAAAGGTGTGATCTCCTTTGTGCGATCAATGTGGTGATAAAACGTTTTTCACATAACCAAAATAAACCAAGTTTGGAAACACTGCTACAATTCATTCATACATTAGAAAGTTTCTTGAAGCACTAGACAAAGAAAGCACAAAGACTTTTTGAAGCACTAGACAACACCAATAATAGTCTAGCTTATCAAGCAATTCGTCCTTCTCTAAACATGCATAGTGATAAAGCCTTGGCCAAACGACTCGATTTTTCACTAGCTTCTTATTCTTGACATTTGATCTCAAAATCGAGCGAAGTCGAGCATGGATGGCCAAACGATTGGATTTTTCACTCGATTTCTTGTTGAGCAAAAAATCAAGTGAAAAATCGAGACGTTTGGCAGGGGCTTAACTGGGTATCTCATGCCCGCGACCTACGGGTACGCTATGGCATGCAACAATCGGATACTCGTCCTATTATTAAAACCAAGGCCATAAGTCATTTTTAGTCAAAAGTATTTGGAAGATTGAAGGAACACATAAATGAAAGCAGAAACAAAATTTTCACGCCTCATTTAAAACAGTTTGCAAATCTGAGTCTTACCTTGACTACAAACAAGATTTTACAGTGAGATGCATATTAGCAAAACTTAGGGTCACTGCTCAAAATCTTTTAATTGAAACAGGGTGTTTTAGTAAGAACAAAACTTCGAGAGACGAAAGGTTTTGCCGGCATTGCAAATCCCTGAATATTTTCGCAGTTGAGAATGAAGTCCTTTTACTCTTAGCTTGCTCCCTTTTTAATGAAGAACGAAACATATTTCTGCAAAAAATCTACAGAATTTTTCCAGATACTGCCTCGTTGAACGAATTCAACCTGATCATTTGGCTAATGACCCAAGAGGATTACAAAGCAACAAAACTTTCGGCCAATTTCTGCAATAGGTCGTTTGAAAAAAAATCAAATTTTTTAAGCAACCCTAATAATATTTTATTCTAAACATTTACTTCTTTCATGGCTGTATCTTTTGCAGAATATTGTGCTTAGTTTTTCCATAATTGTATCTTTGAACTATTAGATTTGTTATTGTTGAATAGTTTTTTTAAAAAATCGCCATAAATAGCTTTATGATTATAAGCAGGTAAGCAGTTAAGAGCCATCTCGGCGTAGATACTTGATTTCCAAAAAATGTAGCAACAGCAATAAAGACCTCACCAAAATCATGTGCATAATTTATGATTTTGATTAATGATTTGTTCTGTCAATTTAGCAATTTATCGGTTTTGGTCCTTGGCCACTGTGAGCCGCCATTTTTGATTACCTTTTTCAGACTTTTGTACCCTAAGTGTACATGACGGATTATTTTATATCTACTCGAAATGTTAGTTGCGGTAATTAAGTCTCGGTCGAGGGTTGCAAAGTAAAGAATGTAAATAATGAACAGTGTAAACGTAAGTAGCATTCTCGATGTACCTTTATAGTAAAATGACACAAACAAATCGGTACTTATTTTTTCTTTGTTCGGTATTTATTTTTTGTCTTTTAAACTGTAAAAACAGTAGAAAATGATAAATTTTATTTTCTAAATTCGATACTCATTCGAATGATAACAAATGTATTTAATGAGATGACTGAAACATTGCACGAAATTAGCTAGAATGAGTCGTAAGAATATGTCCCTCCTGAAGTCTTTACGATATGCAAAAAGTTCTGTATTTCCATTCTTTCTTTATGCGTGGCCAAAATGGCTCAACGTTATCAAAGACGAAGTATTAACACGTTAGACTGGATATAAGCAAGCTAAAACGTTTCTGAGCTTTTAGGCTTTCAAGTTCCCAGAACCTTTAATTTTTATTTAAGAAGGCAACACTTTAGCAAAATGTTGATTTTCAAGGAGTTCTCCACTAATATTTTACAAAATAAAGCATCAATTTCGTAGAAACACTGGAATCCTGCGAAAATTGCAGAGGCCTCAATCCGTTTGAGACATATCGTAAAATTCGTAAGCCGCAGTCGACAATATGGCCGCAAAGCCTACAATCCCAGGCAAAACTGTTGAGACAAAATAGAATTTTTGCAATTTTCTACTTTACGTTGCCCCTGTAATTCCGAATCCCCCCTTTCCCCGAATCAATGTGGAATTTGTAGTTCTATCATTTCTCCTTCAAAATCATGCATTCAAGATTGAATTGGGGGAGGGGGGGGGAGTAATTTTTCAAAAGAGAGAGAAAATATCAACTTTCCTCGAAAATTCTCAACAATTTTTGTCCGGGATTGTAGAACCCGTAAGCCGAAAAACCGTGAAGCCATGGAGCCTCGGAACCGTGGAGCCTCGGAGACGCGAAGCTGCTAACCTATAATGGTCCCTATCAAAGACATATAGACATAGAGGATAGATTTTACATTGATAAAAGAAACCAGGAGCACTGCAATGCGTCTAAAAAAGTTATTTTTTATTGTATGCTTCCTCGCAACTTAAAAAATTCTAACATTTATATCTTCCATTTGAGAATATTAACACGTCCTAACACTGAGTGGTTCAATAAACAATGTGATTATATATGTTTAAAATAACTCAATATTTATGTGAAAAAATATATGCTTAAGACTATGAGTTTGAAGTAAAGATGCAAAATTCTTGTTGTTTCGTGCCGTTGTTTCCTGCCTTTATTTCTTTGCTTTTTGAGAAGCATAATCATCGTCAATTATCATATCTTTAGTGAATGTAATTAGGGAATTTCGCATAACCATCTAGCAATAGCAAAATTTCGACTTTTAAATTTTTAAAATCTGATGATGTTATCGGAAAGAGCTTTCAAACCTGAGTAAAAATGATAAAACATCAATGTGATTGCAAAATTTTCATTAAAATTTTTTTTTGAAAATTCATTTATCTCTGTTTCTAAATAAAATCAGGCTGTCGGCAACAAATTGATGGCCAGTAAACATATCGACCCATTGGTAACGGCCCGTTAACTTTTTTCATCAAGAAATTTGTATTTACCGATTTCTCATACACTTGTGATCCAACGATTTAGTTGCTATACTTTTTGCTTGGGGATCTTACGCTTTGGCCTCGGGGCTTCATAAGCTCGTCGTCATAAGGGGAATTGTAGAAAGCATGAAGAGTTTTTCATTAAATTTAAGAATTATCAAATTAATTATTGCGTCAATTTACAGATAATGAAATTTTTCACAAAGGAAATTTACTTGCCAACCAAGATGGTAATACTTCAGAAAGATGAAAAATTGAGATCAATAACGTAGCAGAGGCATCTAGTTCCCTAAGGAAAAATTGAAACGGGGCCCCTCCGTTGGGACGGCAAAAAGTCCCATCCAGCGCTGTATGTAGCCACAGTATGTGAGTCAGAATAGCAAGTTAAAAAATGATAATTTTCTCTCGTTATCAAGGCTGAGTTGTAGCAGATTCAGTTGAAGAACTTTGAACGTTTTTGAATATGAAGTTAACTTGAATAAAGTGTTAAGAACATGGATTTAAAAATTTTTGGGGTCCCATTTCATTTGGTCGGATGTCCTTAGTTATCGAACTAAAGGCCGATTTCCATTTGGCATTTTTTGTGCGCGCGGGCGTAGCGCCTAAATCTAAGCATGCGTAGTTAAAATCAAGTGGTCTCGATTTTGCATCCGCTGTGAGCGCCAGAAAGTTGATAGGGTCTCAATTTTTTGTGCGCTTGGCCACTTGACAGTAGCACTTCGCTACGCATGCTCAGATTTGGGCGCTCCGCCCACGCGCACAAAGAATGTCAAGTGGAAATCGGCCTTAAACGTTACGTCATTGATTGAGATGCGTGGGAGAATGTGACATCCTTATCCATGGTGGCATGATACAATCGCTTACAAATTAATCAAATGGCATGCGACATCGGTCTGCAATGCCAGAAAGACGCTAGGCAACAATGATGAGTTTTTCAATAATTAATGAACTCTTATGCTATCTGAATGCAAAAACAAGTGCATATTGAAGCCTTGAAAGTAATATTCCCACGTTATTGGATTCGTTTTTGGATACGCTTCCCTCTCACAATATCAAATAAACAATCAATCCCTGCACAGGGTATTGAATTTGTTACTAAACAAAAGCTCGAAATGGTCGTATGGTATTATGTTAGTTTTGTATACAATTCTCTCAGCCTCTCCGATGCAAAAACAAGATCTGATCATATGATATAAGATTCATTTTTAAAAATGATTTTTTGTATCTGGTTTTTCTGACTAGTCCGATGCAAACACGTAACGTTGTTGCATGATTTCAAATTGACTCATGTATCAGATTCTCTCAGCATTTCCGATCGACAAAATCAACTTTGTCACATGACCTTAGATTCATTTTTGCATCCGATTCTCCCAACCAATTCGATGGAAAAATTTGAACTTGTTACATGATTTTAAACTGATTCATGTATCAGATTTGCTCAGCCATTCCCATCGCACAAATCAATTTTGTCACATTATCTTGTATCAGTGGTGGCGCCAGGGGAGGTGTTGTGTATGCGCGCGCGATGCCTAAGATCCGCTGCGACCTAACGCTAGACCTAGAGAGCACACGAGACAAGACGCCATGTTTTCACTCCGACCCTGATCTAATCTAATCTCTCAACTCCAATCCGAGGCTAGTATAAAATGGTTTATGCCTAATACATTACAGGAGGGCTAGGGGGAGGCTACAGCCCCTCCGTTGGAAGCATCTAGCCATCCCCCCCCTCCCCCCATCGGAGAAAATTATAGGTTATTGTCGGAGCAAATTTGACAAAATAAAGTACGAAAACTGCTTATGTTAGTCATTTTAGCCACCCTTTCGGAAGCTCCAGCCCCTCTGTCGGAAGATTTCTGGCGTCACCTCTGTCTTGTATACACTTTTGTATCTGATTCTTTCGGGCATTGATAGCTTTAAGTACGGGGACATGTCATTATTCTAGAGGTACCTTCGATCGAAAAGAGCGGATTATCAGCATTAGTTTCTAACATATGCTTTATTAAATTGACATATGACATTTGACATATGAAAAATGATATTGTCTTGTGGAATCATGGGTCAAGTTTTAGTTTTAGTCATGTTTGCGGGATTGTTGGTCACATTTTTCAGACGTGCAAAATTATTGGTCAAACTTTGAACCAAAATGACAGGTCCCTGTCCAAAACTAGGCCTAGTTATATAATGCTTTGGTGAAGTTAATTATTGAGAGAGCGGCACCACTTGCTTATTTGTGGTTATTACACCAAAACAGCACAGCCTCGAGTGTTTGCAATGTAAGGAATATTATGCAACTTTAACCTTCACTTGTCAGAATCCCCATGAATAGTCTATTACTATTTCAGGTCAATAAATGAAATTCAATTAAGGTGTTGCTTAGAGGAAGTAAACTTCAAATTTGATTTTCACGAACCCGAATTGATAATCATCCCTAAATAATTCATGTTCGCTAATACATGAATAAATAATTCATACTTGCGAAAGCAAATAGCGAAACTATTATATAACCAACTACTGTGAAAAAGCCGAAAGTTAAATGCGTCAAAAACTTTCAAATATAAGGCGCAAAAAGTACTCCCTCTGTACAAGATGTTTTCAGTCTGTACTGTATTTATATGATTTCAAATTTTCAACGTTCGTTCTCCTATGTTGTTGAAGACCGCTACAGCCTAGCCTGGGTTCCAGACCCCTACAGCCTTGCTTCTAGGGATACATAATTTGAAGAGATGCCTCCTAGATTCCCACAATGTCATTTTATGTTTGCTGTTTGGTACATCCTTGAGGGCAGTTTTGTAGAATAGAAATGTCAGGATGTTGAACTTTTGTCTCTAGCTTCATCCCTGCTCTTCTTCCAAGAACAATGCTGTTAGTTTAGGGAACCTATTTGCGGCTTCACGACCTTGACCCTTTTTGCAGTTCAGCCTACGGATGTGGCAATAGATTTTCTGTGGATTGCGTTCGAAGCATACCGTAAAAGCTCTATTAAGCCCCCGGGAGCTTATTTGTTGTTTCAGTCCTAGAGGGGGGCTTTAAAGATAGGGAGCGAATTAGAAAGAGGGGTTTATTAAAAATTTAAAATAAAAAATATAATAAAATTACCCTTGTATATTACTTTGTTATAAAAATGTCTTACAAATGTTCTCAGAAAACTTCGCTGGCAGCTTCGAAAGTCTAATAAATCAATTATAAGGTCCCTATCTTCATCACAATCACTAGGATCAATTGATCACTCTGGGGCATCTTCTAAACAAATTTCGACTGAATTTTTAGGCGCACAGGTAAGTCTTTACATGGGCTTTATTTAATGCACACGATTTTATTATCATCACACCCGTTAAGAGACCCAGTAAATGAGCATGTTTTTCGTTTTTGAAACAAAGGCTAAATGGGGGGGGCTTAATAGATAATGAGGGGTTTATTTTAAGATTTGGCTTGTTAAGGAGGGGCTTAATAGAAAGGGGGCTTGATAGAGAGAGGGGGCTTAATAGAGCTTTTACGGTAAGATGCATCTTGCGTCTTCAGATGTAAATTGGCAACAGTTAACGGCTTCAGGATCTGGATGCGTCTCCAAAAATTTATTCAAGATGGTTCGGACCAACGCAACAGCTTGTTTTGTGAAAGAAATCACCAGAAAAATGCACTTCCTGATCCCTACGTCCTTACATAATATCCCTAATAAAGCAACCCTCTTAATCCTATTGAAAATTATTTTATTTTTGCAAACAAATTGAACAGCAGATAAAAACAGCAATTTCGCCGTGGTCTTCAGGTTTTCAGTTACTTCTAAAGCTAGGTAACAATTAGCACTGGTTGTCAATTTAGATCCCTCTTTCCATCTTAGCATTCCCTTTGAATGTTAAAATGAATCTGGAGTTCATGTTGAATTGCAGTTGACGCTTCTACCGAGAAACTTTAGGAGAAACGGACACAAGGCACAATTTTGCTTAAAGAGGGCCTGGATTTTTGGATTTATTGCCAACAAGCAATTTTCAAATCTTCAAATCATTAGTTTGTTTACCTTCATTCATATCAAGGAATTTCATATTCAACCATAGGAGCAACTACCTTTGCTTAATTCTTTATTGATTGTAAGACATGAAGGTCTCTCAAATACCAAAAGCGCTTTTTCCACCAAGCAGATTTTACCTGAAATTTCCTATGGAGATACTATTGGGGGGGGGGGTGGTGACACCCCCCACACTCCCCCGGTCCTGATGCCCCTGTGGGTCAACACTATACCTTGGTGGGAAAGCGTTTTAGTAGGCTGGGGGTTGTTTTAGAGCAAGCCTACGTCGTTCCCTGGTGTTCAATTCAAAGGCGTTTTGGCATGGATCGTACTTAGGGCAAGCAAACGTTTAATCAAATTTAGTGAAAACTTCAAAAATTGTAAGTGCAAAGCTTCAGGCTTGCAAATGCCAAAATCTAAATCCATATTTATGACACTTAACTTTCCTTCGCTTTTAGCATTAGTTTTGATTATATTTGCGA